CTCTGCAGATAGCTCTTGATCAGAGCGGGAAGTGACAGGTAAGGGCACATCCAGGCTGGGGGCCAGTCACATTACCTGGGCTCTCTCACTTCTCCAAGTCTAGATCCAGCTAAAGAACTCGGACGCTCTCACAGTGAAGGTGACCGCCCAATGCACACCTAAAGGATCAGTGGAGTACATTTCTATAGGAGTTCCCAGCTGGAAAAAAAAAAAAAAAGATTCGCATTTTTCATGAATGCGTACATTCGTCTGGTGAAGTAGGCGGAGCAGAGATCACTTCTCTGTGCAGAGGTGAGGAAGCTGAAAGGTCACCGTCTCGCCCAAGCCCGTCGGGCTGACAGGTGTAAAACCGGATTAAAGTCCAGGTCGTCTGCCTCCAGGAGCTCTCTGCACCATTTTCATATAGCATGGATTTTGGCGCACCTACTATGTGACAAATAAATGGAGGTGCAAGGGAGATATAAAATATAATCTTTGACCTAAGAGAGTTTAACACTTGCGCCTGGAGAACGATTTGAGACGGCTCCCACCGGAAGTAGCTGCTGAGTGGCCAGGGCTGCTGGAACTCGGAGAGATGGCAGATCGTGTGGTCTGACAGCCAGGAGAAGCCCTTACGGAAGGTGAATCCGAGTTCTGCAGACCAGTCCTGAGACCCCGTCAACGCGGAGGAGGAGATCGAGTTCACCGTGGCCCCTCTGAACACATCTTGACTTTCACTGCTGAAGGCATTTCAGAACAAAGAGCCTTTTTTTCCCTAATCAACATGCCGCCCATGCAAATATCCGACACTGTCGCAGCCAGTTATTCCGTGATCTGCCCAGCAACCTCCCGCTTCTTTCTTCTGCTCTGTCACTTTTTTTACTTACGACATCCAATTCCTATTGACTCAACAGCACACCACACTTTCCTTCTCCAGAACCCCCGTTAGGGATTGTTAACCCCAAAATAAGAGTCTGCCATTGCGAATCACAGCTGCCTTCCTTTTGACTACCTGCCCTTTGTGCTAAAGGGGACACCAGCGGCCTCCTCTGACTCGGTGTCCTCAGAGCGTGGATGCTGCCCCTGGGGGCCACTCTCGCAGCCCTGAGTGGCAGCCAGTGGTCACCATCCCACCGTCCCTCACAGAAGTCTCTGCAGTCCCTTCCTTCCTGTCACTCCAGAAATGATTCTAAGGACTTCACGTTTCTCCCCAACCCTGACAGCTGCCTGAAACTTTTTTTTTTTTCCTCATTTCAGAGCCTCCACCCTCTCGGCAAAAGTAAATCCTTCCCTTAGCCGGGTTCTCCCTTTTCCACGTTCTGGTCTCTCCCTGCAATGCCTTCCTGGCCCCTCCTCCTCATCTCCTTTCCCAAGGCCCTTTCTTGCCCTTGGGAAAGCAGCTTAACCTTTTCCCTCTGGAGTGGTGACTCTGGGCACCAAGCAGCTATAGTCAGTGGAGTATGGAGGTTAAACCCAAGTGCCTACGAGGGCCAGGCAGGACACGGGGTGTTCTTCCAACTTTGTTCGCATATTAAGTATATGGGAACATTCTTTACTTTTACAAAGAAATATGCTCTATCTCCTAATTCTTCTCTAGGGTAAATAACAGTGTGAGAGCAGGGCTAAAGCGACACAGGACAATGTCACTAAGCGGTGGGGACCTTCCTGAATAGAGAAGGAGCACACGTGCTCTAGCTAGCCGTTCTCCAGCCAGCGTTGGCCGAGTGGAACAGGAGCCCAGGGTGGCTGGATCTTCTGACTGTTTTAGGAAACAGACATCCAGACACACTTGTGAAAAATTATGTTTTTTTAAATGTTGACGGTTAACCCAAAAGAATTTAAAACGCGGCAAAGGCTAAGGCAGACAAGTTCACAAGGCGCCAGAGGGTTCCCAGGGCACTGCCTCCGGCACTGTAAATATTAATATATTCTATTATATTTGCTTAATCTCCAACAGACGGTTCTGTAATTAGGCCCTTTGTAGAGATCCGCAGTCTGTTTCTGCATGCGTTCTCGGTGTTTGCGGGGTCTCGTGTTTCCTAGCCTATCCCGACAATTATTAATGGTGCCTTTGGGTCGAATTTACCTTCCTTTTCTCCTCCTTTTTCTTCCCTACAAAAGGAGACATAGCACTTTTAGAATTAAAGCTTGGAGTCAAATTAGTTTAGAGATTATAATAGCTTTATAGTTTTCTAGAACAGCTAGAAACTTTAGCTGTAATCTTACCGCAAGTCTTTGTTCAGAGGAGAACTGATTAAACACAATTAGCGCGCACCCACACACACACACACATGGAACTGTCACCGTGACGAAAACTGAAATCACGGTATGTGACTCACCTCTCTTAACCCTGCCATGTGCCTTCCTGAAGTGGGTGGTCCTCTCCCACTTCCGAACTCCAACCATTTGGCATCTTCCCTACATCAGCATTTGCCCTTCATTTTTATGGTAACTGCACATACTTCTGCCTGCCTCGTGAGAGCAGGGACTGTCTCTCTCCGTTGTTATCACCAGGCCTGGCACAGCGCCTAGCATATAGTCGGCAAAGCAAGAGCTATTGCATAAAGCATTATCGTCACCCAAATAGCTACCATCGCCAGAGCACTTACTGTGCGTTGGGCAGTTCACTCACATTATCCTAGAGGCTTTCCCAGACCACACCGTCCAATCCAAAGCATACTCCAGTCATCCTCTAGCACACCACCTTATTTTACTCCTCTGAATAGGGTTTACTGTTTAATTATGTCTCCTCCACTAGAATGAAAACTCCAGAGGACAGTCATCTTGTCTAACTGGCTCTTGGCACATAGAAAGCAAATTAATAAATCTAAACTTCCCACCTCCTTGGGTGGCGGAGTTGACTTGCACACAGTAGGTCTCAGTGAGTATGTTTTAAAATCTGTATTTAGATTTCAGGATAAATGTGTTGATTATTTCATGGTTCGCAATGAGCTCTGGGAAGTAGGGGAGTGCAGTAAAAATAAAAATTTGGTCCCATTCCCCCAAGCACTGACTAGCGCGCGGGAATTTTTGCTGCAATAAGAAAGCCACTTCCTCTGACATAAGGTCCCCCACACGCCTGGATCTTGCCACATCCTCTGATACGACAGAGTTCACGATGGCTGGGCGGGCCGGGGCGGCCAGATTCCAGACGCTCACTCGGAGAGAGCGGCGGGCGGAGCGGTCGCCCGCTGCGGGGTGCGCAGAGGGTCAGCGGGGATGCTGTCACCGCCGCCCGAGCCTGTCGGCCCCGCGATTCTCAGCGTTGGGGGCCCCCTTCCCGATCTTGCCACATCCTCTGATACGACAGAGTTCACGATGGCTGGGCGGGCCGGGGCGGCCAGATTCCAGACGCTCACTCGGAGAGAGCGGCGGGCGGAGCGGTCGCCCGCTGCGGGGTGCGCAGAGGGTCAGCGGGGATGCTGTCACCGCCGCCCGGGCCTGTGGGCCCCGCGATTCTCAGCGTTGGGGGCCCCCTTCCCACTGCATTCGGCTTTCTTTCACCTCCAAAGCCCAAAGGCACTGCAGAGGCAAACCCCGCGCTCCCCCGAGCCTGCAGGGGGCGACGTCGAGTCCCACGTCACGTGAGGGGACACGCAGGCTAGGTGAGGGATGTGCGGGGCACTGGACAGCGCC